TTATACGTGGCCCAAGACAATTCCTCTTCATGCAATACAGCCCAAGCAAGCCAGACAGTTGGACACTCATGCATGTATACCAAGTATTTGTATATAAATAAATTTTACAAAATACTATTATTGATTACCATTCACTGTACTAATACCTAGCACTATTCTAAAGGACTTTACAGGTTTTCAATCTTTTAATCCATACAAGAGTCCCACAAAAGGAAATTAAGGCACATAGGAAATGCCTTGCCTGAGCTGATAGACCAAAAGCCCTTCACCATTCTGACCTTTGGTTATGTTATACCTGTGATATTATTTCCTGCCTGGAAAAATGAAATTCATCTTTCAAGACCTGATCCAAACACTACTTGCTTTCAACAGGAAGAATTCATTTCATCCTCATTCAAGCTTCCAAAAGTTTGTTCAAAGACCGATACAAAGTCATGCCTCACTTAATGACAGAACACATTCTGAGAATCAAATCAATAGGTGATAGCATCATTTTGCAAATATCATAGAATACACGTGAGCTGGGCATAGAAGCACATGCCTATAATTCCAGCAGTTGGGAAGCTGAGGCAGAAGGATCACAAGTTTAAGGCCAGCCTGGGCTATATGATGAGGCCAAGACTAGCCTAAACTACACAGTGAGACTTAGCTCAAAATAAAACAAAGCCAGAATACATGTGAACATCATATCACACACAAAATAAGATGACTAGACAGTATAATCTACAGGGACCACCATCATATACACAGTGTGTCACAGAACAAAGCATACAGCAGATATCAAAATTACACAGTACATACTGGACTTTACAATGATCAACTATCTTCCTGAACACACTGAACACAACAGTGTTACTCATTTTTACAACTAGGACAGTGCCTGGCAAGGCATAGGCTCTCTATAAAATATTTTGAAATTGCATTAAAAGTTGAAGAAAATGAAATGTAAAAAATTTTAGTACTCAGAATCACTAAAAGAACAATTTTAAAAACCTAAAGCAATACAAAGTACTTTGACCATGTTTCCTATCATTTCTATTAAAAATACATACCCAATTTTACAGATCCTCCAAAAAGTGAACCTTTATCAAAAGCATCCTTCCAGGTAAATGTCAAGCATATCTGAAAAGAATGGGAGAAAACAAAATTATTTTATCATCTTGAAGCTCATTAAATGCTAAGTCTCTTCTAGAGGAAAATCCACAAGGAGAAAAGGACAAAAGTTCAACCAGTCTAAAACACCTTCTCTGGCCAATCAACTTTTTCCTTCTTCTGCATCACAAATTTTTTAAAGTAAAATACTGACACTAGGATACTTCAAATGGTCACTGTTCAGTAATCATAAATACTATCTTATTCACCTTTACAAATGTACCATGGCTTCAACAGAACAAGCTCTTAATACTTGCCAAGTAAGAGAAAAAAATAAAGCCAATAAAGTACTACAGGTAGTTCTAAGCAGAAAAGCAATCATAGGGGCTGGGGACTTAGCTCAGTGGTTCCAGCACCTCCCTCACAAGCTCAAGGTCCTAAGTTCGATCCCCAGTACCAAAAATAAATAAATAAATAAAATAAAGTACTACAGGGCCGGGGATTTAGCTCAGTGGTTGCACCACCTGACTCGCAAGTGCAAGGACCCAAGTTTGATCCCTGGTATCAAAAATAAATAAAGTACTATAGATTCACTAGGAGATAAAAATAGCCATTACAAAAATAGAGAATGGTTTCTTTGAGGAAATGGGATATTTTATTTCTTGATCTGAGTGGCATTTATACAAGTATATTCACTTTGTGAAGATTCAAACTATACACTATTTGTTCTCTTTTCTGAATGGTAGTATATTATAAATGAATAAA